CAATTCCTGTACCGGACGGGGCACAGAGCTCCCGGCCGGGCTGCGCCCTATTCATGATGAATCTGCCGTCATTACGAACCAAGAATCAAGTGGGGTGGGAAGATGAATTGTGGGGGTGTATCTTCCTGTACCGGACGGGGCACAGAGCTCCCGGCCGCGCTGAGCCCGATTCATGATGAATCTGCCGTCATTACGGACCAAGAATCAAGTGGGGTAGGAAGATGAATTGTGGGGGTGTATCTTCCTGTTTCAACTAAAGGATCGTCCTATTTTCTTTATCTAGCAAGTAATGCAGGGGCGCAGCAGAGCACAGAAGTCTAGAAGACAAACGTCGTGTATCTATCCTTGTTCTCGCTAAAGATTCGTTTCTCGTGTATCTATCCTTGTTCTCGCTAAAGATTCGTTTCTCTTTCCCTCGATTGGTGACTGCTGGAACCGGGTCATGACGCACTGCAAACGGCATATGGCTCTGTATCTGATCATGTTTTTGATGTGGTGATGCAACAGGTGGTAAAACGAACCTGTTACAGTGAATCTGTCCATGATTTTTGCAGAAGACTAATTCTCCCTCATGTAGTGACTGATCTAGCAGGCTGCCAGTGGCGGTGCATCTCTCCATGCTTTGCTGGAGATTCATCCTCATTTCCTTAATAGGGGAGCTGAGCTCCAGCCCACCAGAGAGAGAGAGAGAGAGAGAGAGAGAGAGAGAGAGAGAGAGAGAGAGAGAGAGAGAGAGAGAGAGAGAGAGAAGAGACCATAGCGTTGGGAAGAGAAGGTTGGAGAGGCAAAGGATTCAGCCAGTCGCACTGCAGGAATAGTGAGAACAGACGAAGGAGGCCCGCTTTACCGTGCGGATTCTGAACTCGTGGCTATTTTAACCACAGAGAGAAGAAATTCCAAAAATGCCACTAGGAATTTCGTGGACTCCACAAATACCCCTGCGTTCTTGAAGTCTGCCACGCGAGGCAAGTTTCGGCGATTGGGGGGGATCTATTCCTCACTCTAAGACGAGGAAGTTGAATGCCCGTTGTCTATGTTGCCAGTACCAGTGTTGTTTCTAGTGATCTCATTGTTTTATTTGTTTATTTGAACAATACACAGTGGCTAGTAATGCTCGAATACACAGCGGCAAAACTCAGACTCAGAAAGGATCGCGTCACAGACCAGAAACAACAGAGCCGATGAGCTCAAACTTGGACTGGCAAAAGTAAGACCCAGTGGGATTAGACTCAGACCTGTGCTCGGGAACACTGTCTGCACATCCGTGCTCCACACTCAGGAAGGACTCGGTGGACTCAAGTATAAATTCAAGGAAGTTCATGTGGATTAATAAGATCCAAGTGCAAACCTACTAGTGTCAGTAGGGACACAAACTGGGACAATTTTCCACCAGCTTAAACACAGCCAAGAGGCCCGGGGCGAGGCAAACAGAACAGACTCAAAAGATGTCATAAAAGCGTGATTATAGACTCGGGAGAGACTTGTGGACTCTACAAAGCAGGCCTAGTCTCAAGGACACGGGGTCATAATCAGACCAGCAGGGAAATAAAGACTGAGAAACCTCTGCTCCTGCTCAGTTAATCCTGTGTGTCCCCCCTCCCAGCCACCTCTGCCCCTGCTCAGTTTATCCCATGTGGCCCACAGTAATCAATGCCGACACGGATTTATCCCACAACTACAAAATGCTCAGAGAGATGCTGGACCCCGTTTCCAGCAGGTGCTGCTCCCCACTAATAGATGAGCCTCTCCGGGAGTGCTAGTGGTGTCTGCTCTTATCACCACCCCTAGCAGCAACTCGGACCGTTTAAAAAACAAAAAAAGAGGGGGTAACTTCAATAGAGTCAGAAAAACAGTTTGAAATTACAGTTCAGGCATTCCCCCAAACATAAGGACACCCCCCCCCAACACTACCTGACCCGAACGCTAGCTTGTATACATTGCCTGAAGTGCAATTTGAAACTGGTTCTGGCCCGGAGTGTATTTGCAAACTCTTTTTGTGACTCCCACCCAGTTTCCTCTCCCCCCAAAAAAAAGAGTTTTCACAAACAGCAGAGTCAGCAGAAGCTTAGTTGCCCCACCTGACCGGAACGCTAGCTTGTATACATTGCCTGAAGTGCAATYTGAAACTGGTTTTTGCCCGGAGTGTATTTTCAAACTCTTTTTGTGACTCCCACGCAGTTCCCCCCCCCAAAAAAAAAAAACGTTTTCACAAACAGCAGAGTCCGCAGAAGCTTAGTTGCCCAAGTAAACCAAGTTAGGGGACCAAGGGGCCGTGCCAGCAAACAGAAATGACACAGATTCGGATGCGATCAGTGGACTCAGAATTGAGATCTCGGTGAAAATGAAGCAGAACCAGACTCAATGGATAGCTTACAGATTCGAGGCTTTGATGAAGAACAGTGAACTCAAACAGCAAACACAGGGCAGGGAACATGACACATCATTCATAGAAACAGGAGGCACCTGCGGGATACGAAACAGCACGACACAGAAATGTTCTGCAAACAGCAGTTTGCTGATTACAATGAGGGATGCAAATATCAGATTGGGCAAACAGGAAGCAGCAGTTCCAGCACAGTTTCCCATCTGGGAAAAATCAGGAATGTTATAAAGGGGCAACAGCTGTGCAGAACGGCAATTCCGCTGCCCTTGAAAACAGCGGGCCCAAAACAGAGATCTTCGACCAGTTAAACTTTCATACCCAGGGCGTTCGTACCAGCTACCAGCGCACTGACTCATCAGGACTTGAAACTAGGAGAAGCGGTGAGCCCTGAATATTTCAATAGCAGACCAGTCTTCCAGGCTCAGTGGACGCCGGAAACTGAGTCAGCAGCTGCTGGCCATATCAGTGATAAACAGTTGGAGCACTGGATCAACCTGCGGGCCGGGCGGTCTATCTTGGACTCTCTCCCCACCCCTGGGGCAAGGTCCCACTTGCAGGGATTAAGAGATTGTGGCCGTTGATCTTTGCTATCTACAGTCAATATGGCTTAATTCGTGTAAGTGGGACCTAGCCTCTGGTCGGTAGGCAACAGTCACTCTAACTTCAGGAGTGTCAGTATGGTACTTAAGATTTGAAGAGTCAGGCACAAAATGCACCAACCGAGTTGGGGGAGCTGGCCTAGGTATTGCAGTAGGCTTGTCACCACACAATGCAGACCCCAGATACCACGGGGTCAGCACGTTTCAGATACTGTCAAACTCTGAGGTTATTAAAAATGATTATTATAAGACGGACATACGTTTATGTCACATGGAACTTTGTAAAGGGCAGAAAAAACAGGCAGTCTGCAACTTTGTCATGTCCTGAATTTGAAAAGGCGGTTGTAACTCAGGCTGGCAGTGGAGTCAGGGTGGCTGTTTGCCGTTTTTTTTTTTGTTTTTCTTTTGGGGGGCATCTTTTTTTCTTGTTTTTTTTCCCTGTATTTGTGGTCCATCACGGCCATGGCCAGCCGGGAGTGGCCTAGAAATCGTGGCCGTGGCCCAGCCGCGGGTGTGGCGTAGAC